TTTGATTATTCATGTCTTTATAATATTTGGGCTTTATGTCATATGAGTATAATTAGAATGGGCTCATATTGAAAAAAACGAAAAGAAAAAAAGGCCCAATTTTATAGTGTTGTTTGTTTTAATATTTAAAAATTAGGCCCAAACCGAAAAACCGAATTAACCGACCGAACCGAATTATCAAATTTCAGTTCGGTCCTTGTTCGGTTCGATTGGCTTGTTCGGTTCAATTCGGTTTTCATTTTTAGTGTTATTCGATCGATCGGTTCTGCATATTTTGAGACCGAACCGAACCGAACCGACCGATGCTCACCCCTATAGAGAATAGCATTTTCGAGCATAGCAAATGTGGCCTCTCTTATTTTATTTATTAAATGATGTGATATTTTATTTAAACTTATTTCTTTAACAAATTATAATAAATAATTATTTAATCTGATAGAATAAAATATTAAATCAATAATAGGGCAGAGATATGGTTTTCCTCAAATTGCATCATTTCCAAAAGAATTTGTTGAATAATTCTTCTTTGCATAAGTTGGTTGCCCAGTATTTTAGGCCTTTTAAGGTTATGAAGCGCATTAGGGCTATTGCATATGACTTGGATTTACCCCTTACCACTAGAGTTCATTCGGTGTTTTATGTCTCTATGGAAAAAAACATGTTAACCCATATGTTTCTCTTACTTCTACCTTCCTATTAATAGATGATCAGGGCCAATTCATGTTAGAACCCAAATAGAGTTTAGGTAGGAAGATTGTTAAGCGTCATAATCTACCTGCGACTCAAGTTTTGATTCATTAAAAATTTTCTCAGCCAGAAGATGCCATTTGGGAAGACATTTAGGCTATACACACTAGTACAAAAATGACTTTTTACAGCAGTTAAAAGAGACGATATTATTTCAGGGGGTGTAGAAAGTTCTTTTTACATCGGTTATAAACCTGATGTAAAAATTAAATTTTTTACATTAGTTATAGAGTCGATGTTGAAAATTATATATAAGAAAATTAAAAAAAAATTACTTTAACTTTTTACACCAGTTGGGCTTTGAACCGGTGTAAAAAGTATACTTTTAACACCAGTTTGGAGCCCAACCGCTTTTTACACACTTTTTACACCGGTTATTACCATAATCGTTGTAAAAAATATTATATTCTACAACGGTTGTGGTAATAAGCAGTGTAAAAAGTATTTTATTTTTTTATACTATATTTATTTTATCGATTTTACCTATTCTTGTGCATAAAAATTACCAAATCAGACAGCCCAATTAATTTACAATTGTTTATCAAGTATTTATCAACTATACAAAGCTATTTAACTATTAAAAAAACTAATAATTGTCTAAATTGTTAAAATTGTCATTCCTATGCATAAAAATTGCCAAATCAGACAACTCAATTCATTTACAATTGTTTATCAAGTATTTATCAACTATACAAAACTATTTAACTATTAGGAAAACTAATAATTATCTAAATTGTGTCAACTATCAAAATTAAAACATGTCTAAAAGTAACAAAAAACTCCACAAGTTCTCCACAAAATAGGTTGCCCAACGTATGCGGATGTCTTCAATTTCAGCTTCAGAAAACGCATCTGAATTGTCGAACATCTAAAATTTGATTCATAAAATAGGCATATTAATCATTCTCAAATAACATAATAAAATAAAATTTTTAAAATATATTTACCTCTTTTGTAAATTCGGTAATGCCTAATGTGATAATATTGAGCATGTGCCTCATGACATATAGAACGCACAAGTTCGTCCTCACCGATTGTCTATGACTCTGTATAAAAACAAATCATAAAAAAATAGTAAGAAATCTTAATAATTGAACATATTAATAAAGTATAGCATCACTTTTGGCTTAATCCATGTGGGATCCTTAAGCTCATGTCTATGCTTTTGTAAGACTACATTTTGATATGTTCTCATTGCCCTATGATCAAGATTACCCATTAATATCATAGGCATTCCAACATATAACATCAAAGTTAGGACCTTTAGCCAACCATTTAACTGTTTTAGAAACACCACTTTCATTCAAAATTTTCTGCTTGAACCAATTCACAAAAGTCCTATTATGCTTTTTCAACAACTTTTGTTCTGTCATTCTCATTCGATAATTTGTAGCCTTTAAAAGTTCTTTATGAGAAGATATGTAATCTTTAATTTCATCAATATTATTCAAGATATATAAATGTATTTCTTGTAATTCATCATGATTCATGCTTTTCACTAATACTCCACGTGTGCCTTGACCATATTGCCTTTTCTCATGACAAGATTTAGGAAGTTCAATTGATTCTGTACTTGACAAGTAATCAGAACAAAACTCCATAGCTTCTTCAGCAACATATTTCTCAACTATCGATGTTTCGGGTCGAAATGGATTTCTGACATACCCCTTCAGTATTTTCATATATCTCTCAACTGGGTACATCCATCGTAAATAAACAGGGCCACACAATTTTATCTTCCTCACTAGATGCACTATTAAGTGAACCATAATGTTAAAAAATATAGGAAAAAAGTGCATCTCAAGTTGGCACAAGATAGTACAAGCTTCTTGTTCTAACTCTTCCAGTTTATGGGGATTAATAACTTTACTGCATATAGCATTGAAAAATAAATAAAGTATGGTTATTGTAAGTCTTAAATCTTCTTTCAATATGCCTCGAATAGCCAAAGGTAATAGCTGTTGCGTCAAGACATGGCAATCATGAGATTTTAAGCCTACTAGTTTCAACTCTTTCACAAATACAAGCTTCATAATATTTGAAGAATACCCCGAAGGAACTTTAATTCCATGTAAACATCACAAAAACTTGTTTTCTCAGATTTGCACAATGTATGAGAGGCTAGGGGACAATAAGTTCGTTTACCTTCTGGTCTTGGGTGTAAGTCTTCCCGTATTCCCATTTCTTTCAAATCCAATCTTGTATTCACACCATCCTTAGTCTTACCTGGTATGTTCAGAAGCGTTCCAATAATACTATCACACACGTTTTTCTCCATATGCATAACATCAATACAATGCCTTACTTCAAGATTGCGCCAATATGGGAGGTCAAAAAAGATAGACCTTTTTTTCCATATGCTTTTTGCACCAGTATTCTTTTTAGTCTTACCGAAGACAATATTAATGTTTTTCACACGTTCATATACTTGATCCCCAGTCAAAGCATCCAGAGCATCATTGTGTTCTTGGTGACCATGAAAAGATTTCTTCAATCTATGATATGGGTGATCTCGTCTAAGAAACCTTCGATGGCTAAGGTAGACTGTCTTCCTTCCATGTTGAAGTTGATGGTAGTTTGTGCTTTCTTCACAAATTGGACAAGCTTTATGACCTTTCACGCTATAACCAGACAAATTTCCATATATAGGAAAATCATTTATAATACAAAAGATTATAGCACGTAACTTAAAATTCTCCTTCTGATTTGCATCAAACATTTCCACACCTACCTCCCACAACACTTTCAAATCTTCAATCAAAGGTCTTAGGTAAATATCAATATCATTTCCCGATTGTTTTGGTCCTGAAATCAACATGGATAGCATCATGTCCTTTCGTTTCATGCACAACTTAGGTGATAGATTGTAAATCACCAAAAGAACAGGCCATGAACTATATATACTACTAAGACTACCATAAGGATTCATTCCATCAGTAGAAAATCCAAGCCTCAAGTTCCTTGGCTCATTGCCAAATTCAGGAAACAATTGATCAATTTTCTTCCATTGAGGAGAATCAGCTGGATGTCGAAGTTTTCCATCAAATATGCTCTCATTTGCATGCCTATCAAGTTCTTTGCATCATTAGTATTTGCAAACAAACGCTTGAACCTTGGTATAATTGGAAGGTACCATAAGACCTTTGTAGGAGCTGCTTTCTCTTTGTACCGTGGTGCCTCACATTTCGAACACATCTCCTCCCCTTCAAGCTCTTTTCTGTACAACACACAATTATTAGGACATGCATGTATTTTTTTATACTTCATACCCATTGGGCACAAGATCTTCTTGGCATCATAATAACGATTTGGTAGTGCATTACCTTTCAGAAACATTATTTGAAGTAACTCTAACAACCATGTGAAACTTTGGTCACTCCACCCAGCTCTTGCCTTTAAGGTCACTAGTTTCAACACCCCAGATAACAAACTAAAATCAGTGCACCCCGGGTATAGAGGCTTCTCTGCATCAGTGCACAAGTTATCATACACATGTACTCGTTCAAAAGCCTCTTCCCCAACATCACAGATCATGTCCTCTAATCGATCTTCATTCATTTCTACTTCATCATCAAGATTATCAACTCCCACACATTGAGATGTGTTATTATAATTTTTCAATCGTTTACCATGCCAAATCCATATTGTATAATTTTTGCAAATCCCATCACAAACTAAGTACTCTCTTATTTCGGTAACACCTAGTCTCCTCTCATTCAAACAGTTAACACAAGGACAATAGAACCTTTCACTATTGTCAACAGCATTTTTCTTAGCAAATTCCAAAAATTCTTTTACCCCATTATCATACTTGTCACTCGTTTATTTAGCATTCATCTAACTACGATCCATGTGTCACCTCTTAAAGAATATAAAAAATGTTATTACCTTCAAACTATTTCAAGAAACTAAGTTCCTAATTAAATTAAGATTTGAAAAAATTTTGGCAGAATCTCCCCTGAAAATTGAATCTCCCAAGACTTTTAAAAAAATTTACAAGAGAAAATTGACAATTTTAAACCAAATAAATGATCACATGCAACAACCTGAGGCCTTATGAAGTCACTAACAGTACTCATAGCAACAATCAATATCATTAAAAACTAAATTTAAGCATTATAAAATTTAAAAATTTATATTCAATACATATCTGGGAGGCGACAGCTGCAGCAATGGCTCAACACTAAGAGGGAGGGAGAAGGAGTAGTGGAGGGGGGCAAGAGGGAGGGACAAGGGGAGGGGGCGTCTAAGGGATGGGAGAGGGAGGGGGTGGGCAAGGGGACGAGGGGAGGGGGAGTGGGTGGTGGGACAAGGGGGAGGGGGCGGCAGGACGAGGGGGAGAGGGAGGGGGTTGGCGGACTGGGGGAGAGGGGGAGTGGATGGCGAGGGAGAAGGGGGAGGGGGAGGGGGCTCGGCAGACCGAGGAGGAGGGGGGAGTGGGCGGTGAGGGGAGGAGGGGGAGGGGGCAGGGGAGGTGGCTCGACGGACGAGGGGGAGGGGGAGGGGGCTGGGCGGATGGGGGGGAGGGGGGCCGGCGAGGGAGAAGAGGAGGGGGAGGGGCTGGGCAGATGAAGGGGAGACAAAGAGGGGGAAGGGGCAGAGGGACGAGGGGGAGGGGGAGGGGGCAGAGGGGACAGACTGAGGGTGAAGGGGAGTGGGCAGTGAGGGGAGGAGGGGGAGGGGGCTGGGCGGATGGGGGGGAGGGGGCCGGTGAGGGAGAAGACGAGGGGGAGGGGCAGGGCGAGTGAAGGGGAGACAAGGGGGAAGGCGCGAGAAGGAGGAGAAGGAACTGATGAAAATGGAGGAAGGAAGGAAGAATTTTAAAAAATACTTTTCACACTGGGTTCATGGACACCTGGTGTAAAAAGTGTCAAATAATTCAATATAATTACAAAAATGTCACCGCCTTTATTTTTTACACTATTTGCCTTCCAATCGATGTAAAATATACCTCATAAATTTTATATTTTGTACTAGTGACTAACAATTTCCTCATTTTTCCATTGTTGTACCTACTGCCACTCCCATCCTCATGGACAGGGATGTTTTTAGGGGGAGTATTGTTATCTATTATTTTTATGTTAAAGGGTTTTATGGTCTTTTATACTACTGTTATCTCTCATATATTGTTATTGTTTGCTGTATTAGGTTAGTTATTAACAAACTGGGACCACACTTGTGACGACATGTGTCTAGGGTAGCTTTACATGCTATGTTACACACCTCTGCTCATTGTGAATGAATTCAGACTCTTTTTTCCCTTCCTTCTTCTCTTCTCTTAACAGTATTTTTCTGAATTCAAAATTTTCCTTAATCAAGAAATTCAGGTTCTTCTTATCTTTCCCTTTGTCAATTTAACTAGTTAATTTTCTATCGGGCAAGACTTATATACTTAGTTTTTTATATTTTATATACTTCATAACAAGTAGATTTTAATGTGTTAATAATACTAATAATAAGAATTTATTATAAAACATACAATTTATAAAACATTCACATAAGTTAATTTAATTGTTTATTTTACAAAGATGTCTATACACAGGGGTAGACCCATCATGAATATGTAGGGGGGCCAACTTTTTTAATGTACATACATACATTTATTTATTGTTATGAAAAAATAAAACACGAGAAAATAATTAGACAAGCAATGTTAGAATAATGGATTGATGAAGAAACAAGAGAGAATTGATGAATGAATGAGAAGTGATTCCCATTAACTAAGGTGTGCAAAATATATGGTAAATAGTTTGTAGGGAAAATTTCATTGAGGACCCTTTGATCAAATCAAATTTCAGTCAAAACCATTAAAATTTTAAAATTTCACTGCACATGTGGGGGATTTAAATAAAATTAAATACCTAACTGAAATTATCTTATTATTCTTGATGAAGCTAGGCAAATGAATAATTCCTATAGGAAAATTAACATTTGATATATGGGAAATGACCAATTCACATAGGTGGAATAAGAGTTGTAAATTCATAATAGTGCTATGCTATTAATAAGAGCTACAATTTCACCCATATCAACTATTCATTTTTCATACATTAGTTGTTAATTTCTCTACCATAGTTGTTCATGTGCCTTGCTTTACTAGGGACAAGAATGTCATTTAAATTACTCTTTAGTTTCATTTCAATCCCTCATATATACAGTGAAATTTCAAAATTTAAGAGTTTTGAATGAAATTGAGTTTAGTCAAGGGGTCCTCAATGAAATTTTCCCCAATTTCTATTTAAACCCTCCAACTATATCTAAGAGTTTTTGGATATCAAACATAATTAAGAAAAATTGCTAAAAACCATTTATCAAAGAGATTACGGAGTATGGCATAGCAAAATTTAAGAGTTGGGAGAAGTTATGGACATATACATAACACTTCTCTTTAATTATCTATAACAAATAATACGTCTCATTAAAATTTATTAGAAAAAGACCTGATAAAATGAAATCCTAGTAAATGAAAAGAAATACATTACATATTGAACTTGTCTCATTAAAAAACTTTATTAGAAAAATCCAGTGTAACAAAACCTTAATTAATTAAGAAAATGATGTCGACACTACTCCTAATAATATATCTGAATAGACTATTGTTATTTCTTTCTAAATATATTAATAGAAATATAAACACGCGGGCGTACATAATTTGTTTCAAGCCTTTTTCTTTTTTAAAAATTAATGTGAAGTTAATTGTTTAGATTGACCTGAATATCACTAGTATAAAACATAATTTTAACTATATATTTTTTGCTACAGTTTATTCAAAAACTATGATAATATTAGATTTAATGACAAATATATAAATAAGTTGAAAAATGTAGCATTTATGGTGACAGGCCTAAAAACAAACTATCTCCATAAATTTTTGCGTGAATCATTAGATGAAATTTAATTAAGTAATTGAAATTTTCTGAAATCAGATACATTTATAGTAACAGGCTACACATTTATGTTGACAGTTACACCAAAGACTTGTCGCCATAAATCATATGTCTAAAATTTCATATATTAAATATCATTTAATAAATAAACTAATTAAATTAAAATATAAATTATATTCTTAATTGTGTTTATTAATTATGTCTGAAATCAGAGGGAAGAAGGTAAATATCATGATCTTACCCAGGTTTGGAATACACTATATATATATACATATATATTTGTTTAGTGGGTGGAATTAACAGAAAAACATGGGATTGCAAATATATATCTACATGTATATGAAGGGGTGGAGCCTTGTAGCCTTGGAAAGGGCCTTGATTTCAACGTGGCTCTGTCCTTGTCCGTACATCGAGCTTTCCAGCCTTTATTTTTCTTAATTATTTTTCCTAGTTTACATATATAGATTATTTAATTGCATGATCCTTCAATCCACATTGTCCAAGATACACATGTATATGTAATATAAAAAAAATTATGAGTTGGGTTTTGAAATCTCGTTAAAATATATCCCATTGCTCCAAAAATTAATGTTGGTTACGTATATATTGATAATTGATGAAATATTAGATTTTCATACTTATGGCAGGTTTTTAACACGCGTCCTCGTAGAGAATAGGTTGAATTTTTACCGATCAAATTATTCTTCATTAGCTCCAATCAGCTTTTTTTTTAAAAAAAAATTTACATAGATAAAGACTGCAAACCAGGAGTCACTTGATGATCCATGATCTTGAAAGGTTACACATCAGGGCCATTAACAAAGCGCAATGGCCATTAACATAATTAAAATCTAGGAAGAATTTCAATAGAGAACCCTTGACTATACTTAATTATATTCAAAGTCTCTAAATTTTTAAAATTTTACTGCAATTTAGGAGTACTAATTTGATATTAAATTTTTGCCATAAATGATAAAATTTCTCCTCCTTTAAATTAATATCAAAATTATCCTACTTTACTTGTTCATTTACTTACGAAATGTTATTAATTATCTTACTTAACTTATTTTCATTTTGAATATTTAAATCATCTTAAGACAACTTGTTATTTGTTTTAGAAAAATAAACAAGTTAAATAGAATAATTAACCATGTTTTATAAGTAAATGAACAAGTAAAGTAGGACAATAAATAAGCAAAGTAAGAAAATTAATAAGTAAAGTAGGGAAGTTCTCATAAATTTAATATCAAATTAGTATCCCTGAATTACAGTAAAATTTTAAAAATTTAAGAGTTTTAAATGTAAATAAGTTTGATCAAGGATTCTTTATTGAAACTCTCCCTAAAATCTAATAAACAATCTAAGACTATCCGCTAATAAAAAGTTCCCTTATTTGCATCTTAATAAAGTTTCATCCATGCACCTTTTCTTTGCACTAAAGGAAGATTGAGAGATTGAACTTGAAGTTGGAGGGCAATGGAAGACTCAGAGGACCGATCAGATACTACTCATGGTTCGAATCATCTAAAAGAGTGATCATCATAAACCAAAAGCTGCTCCATGATATTGGACAACTCAGTATTTAATCAAATAATCTTACCTTAAAATAACTTTTATATATATATGTATAATCTTTCGTCAAAAGTCTTATGCTGTTTATCACTGAACCTTTTTTTTTTTCTTTGCGTTGTTGATGAAGATGATTCGGAAGAGATCAACGATAGTCCGATCGAACAAGTAAGGCTAACGGTTCCGATCACCGACGACCCGAGCCAACCGGCGTTGACGTTTCGGACATGGGTACTAGGTTTATTGTCGTGTATCGTTCTGGCATTCGTGAACCAGTTCTTCAGTTACAGGACGAACCCGTTGTTTATCTCGCCGTTGTCGGCCCAGATCCTGAGCCTGCCTCTGGGGAAGCTCATGGCGGCGACGCTACCCGGAAAGCAGATAAGGGTCCCACTGACGAGGTGGTCGTTTTCTATGAATCCAGGACCTTTTAATCTGAAAGAGCACGTGCTCATCACCATCTTTGCCGGTTCGGGGTCCAGTGGGGTTTACGCCATTGGCATTATCACCATTGTTAAGGCTTTTTACCATCGGAGTATTCATCCCTTGGCTGCGTATTTGCTTGCATTGACTAGCCAGGTATGGTGGATTTGTCTTGTTTTTTTTATTTTTGTTGATAAAATCTAACTTTTAATCCTTGAACTAACATTTTGTTTCTGACTTGCTACAATTCATTTCCTGTAGTTTCTTAATTTAGAAAAACTCAATATTTATATATATTTTTTATAATCGATGCGTCCTTGGATAAGAAACACCCAATTGATACCTGTAAAGTGTGTTTAGAGTTGGGAATTATATTGGCCAACTTTTTAGAGTGTGAAAATAAATTTCGAGTTCAAAAGATCCGCCCTAATGGGCCAAAAAATAAAAGAGCTGACTCTTTTAGGCATTATTATATTTTAAAAGTAAAAAAAATGTAAAATAAACAAATTAAGTGCTTCTCATATTTCCATTGTCTCAACAATAAGAATAACCACTTTTGATTATGCATTTGATATATGTTTTAAATAATTCATCAATTAAGTTTGTTATATAATACTCTTAAAGTACCAAATGTTAATTTTTTTTTTGGAGAGAAAACAACGTAAGTAAAGAGAGTTTTAATTGTAAATACTGCTTTGATTTTTTGAAGGGAATTATATCTTAATAATTTTTAAATATTGATGAAAATTTAATGGCTGTAATTGAGACATTTATTGAGTGAGTAGACTCTTGAGTCAAATTCAAATCTTCAAACAATTTAGTACTTATTTTTATACTGTAATCAAAAATGCAAACACCCAAAAACCTAT